TTCTTTTAATACTTTAATGATGGATATATGACATTATGTATTTATCAAAACCCATAGTATTTTACAGCCCAAAGAATGAACCTACATGTATGCAAACTGAAAAAAATTATTTAGGAAACTGAGAGATCCTAGTAAGGAATGGAGACTATGACAAGAAAATTTAATTGTTTTACAAAGGAAAAAACCTCACTGAAGAGAGTGGGCAGCAAAAAGTGCTGATCTAAATAACTTTGGAAATCAGTGGAGTCTACAGACTAAAGGCAAAAGGAACCAGACAACCGCTCTACTCTAGTTTAAAAAGTTGTTTCCCACAGGGCTACAGGTTAGCAATTCTGATAATGCTATACAATTCAACTGGAATGAACAATTATGTAAATGGATGGCAGAGCGGGAATTGATAGATAAGCAAGAAGAGGAGGTCAGAATAATTCATGTGGTAATGGATTAGAGTTGAAGATACCAGTATGAACTCATGTTTAGCTTGATATAGATACAGGTAGCTACAAACAGAAATATTGGTACTTATGTGCATCTACACAGGCTAGTATACACATATATTTCTTTAATGTGTCTTCTGAGAGGAACTGAAAGAAATGATATCCAAGTAGCAATTAGCATACCTAGGACCTAGATCTTAGTTTTTAACATCATTCTCTGATACAAGGAATCTGAACTCCCCAAAGAAATGGCTGATTCCAGTACTGGAGCAGAAAATATATAAAATGAGCCTGGAGCATTTTATTGTGCCAGAAGGCACACACACAAAAAAAGGCAAAAATCCCATTGATGAAGGTATGTCAAAAGGACACAGAAGCCAACTAAAAGAGCTCTCAATGGCCAAACCTGAAATGAATTAAGCAACAAAATAAATAAAGTAGTATAGGATTATAACACAAAATATAAAATAAGTATCTATGAATTCCTATTGACATAAATAAATATTTGAATAAATAAATAGAGGGAGAAGAGATAAATCTTCCATGCAGAAAAATTTCAAATAATTTATGGATGAGGAGGAGGATAACTCTCTCTCTACCCCTTAAGTGTGGGCTGTACATAGGGACTTTCTTCCAAAGAGTATAGTTGGGGAGGAGGGAAGGAAGGAGAAGTTAGGGAGATTATCTTTACAGCAGAAAAATCTGAAAAACACTAACTCAGCCAGGTGATCAAGGTCAACATCAACAGTGACACATCGTGTTGATAGTATGTACCACTGATACAATGTCATAAATATGGCACTTTACTTTTGTGGTCTTCCTTCCAAAAATCAAATTCCTAGTTTTATCATGAGGAAAATGTCAGAAGAATTCCAATAGAGAATACTGACCAGTGCTCCTCAAAACTGTCAAGGTTATCGAAAACAAGGAAAGTCTAAAAAACTGTCCCAGCCAAGAGGAGCCTAAGAAGACATAACTGCTAAATGTAATGTGTCATGCATCCTGGATGGGATCCTGGAAGAAAAATAAGACACCAAGGAAATCTAAATAAACTATTCAGTAACAACAGCAGAAAGTGATTAACTAAATTGTAACAAATGTACTACACTAGTATAAGAGGCTAATAATAAAGGAAACTGTGCAGGGTATATGGAACTGTATGTGCCATCTTCTTAATTTTTCTATAAATCTAAAACTGTTCTAAAAAAAGTTTTGTGTTTTTTTTTAAAGCATAATGTTAAGACAAGGAGGTGGATGGACCATGTTTATTAAAAAAAAAAAAGGAGAGTGGAGGCAGGATTGACAGCTGAGAAAGTTATTAACTGACTAATGAGTGCTAATACAGTTTCATTAATATATCTGAATTTAAGACATTACTTTAAATATTAGACATATAAGCTGAGTAAGAATTATTGAATTACTTTGAAATATTGCTATTTCAGCTTAAGGGCAAAACAACTCCTTAGAAACTCATAATTATATATGATTAACTTACAGAATAACTAAAGGGAATGATTTGTTATTAGTTATTAGCTACAGTGGATGAGATAGGCAGTCAGATATTTTAGGAAACTCACAAAATTCCTTCTGATCAGTATTTCAAATATTTCTACATTGAAATATTCACAGATCACAGGCTGACGGTAGATGGTAGTTTTTAGAGCAAAGATAGCAGAATAAAGCATAGGTGGAAAAAGGAAAGATTCAAATGATTTCAAAGCCTTCAGAATTAAAAGCCTAGTCTAAGAAAGAAGAAACAGAGCAGCCAACTCTCCGTAAACTGAAAGCAAAGAATTTAATGCCATCAGAAATGACTAATTGGAAAAGGTAAATGCCTCACAACAGAAGAGGAAAACAGAAGAAAGGGGAAAGGAATGCATGAGATAATAGCAACAGTTGAAGAAATAGAAATGTCTGTTTATTGGCCAACAGTTTCCTTTGGCCAGTGAACAGAAATGCCTACTTTGGAATGCACCCTATAAAGCAGGAAGCTATCAAATGGTTTGTACGCTTAATACCTCCGTGCCTCCCTGGACTCAGTCTGTCTTCAGTCCACTAGAGAAAATGAAAAAAACCCTGAACTTCTCTTAAGGCATTGCAGGAAATTTAAGTGTTACCTGATGTTTAATTTATTCTTAGATTTTTAAAGGTATGAATCAGACTAAAGGGGAACGAAATATTTATACATAAATATGTATATATTTATATGCATTTATAAATGTATACATTTATGCAAATGTATAAATACATTTATACATAAATACCTTATTACATAAGGTAATAATTACAAAACTTTAAACGTTTATGCGAAAGTCAGGAAATAAATTTGGAAAAATTAATATAAGTAATTAGTTAAGGTGGGTTTTTTAAAAATTGGTTAAATGCTGAATGGAATTTTTACATTTACCTTTTTGATAAAGTATGGAAGAAAAGAAAAGAGGAGAAAAAGAAGGGTAAGTAAATAAAGTAAAAGAAACCAAATCCAAACTGATAAATTGACTATCTCAACAACCTAAAGATATTAAAGACTAGGGGTGTGTGAGTATGTGTAAGTATACATATACAACAAACAATATAAACATGTAAATGTATATTCTCCAAACTATTAATATTAGTTCCTGAAATTAGCATTCACTCATTCAACCTTTTCTCACTCCCTCTACTTCAGCCTTTTCTGTTCCATCAATGCCAAGCTCTTTTCCTCCTTAAGGCTTTTCCCTCACTGATGCTCCTTCCCAAAATATTATTTATTCATTTTTTCATGTTACTTGCTCCTTCCCATAATACATATCCTCACTATAATACCTCAGCTTATGAAAAATAATACCCCCATCATTTTATTACTTTGTTTATTTTCTGTCCTATTTCACTAGAATACAAGCTCTAAAAGTCTATCTGATTCTCTACTTTCCCCCAGTGAATAAGCAGGGTGTGGCATGTATCAGGTATATAAAAATTATTTACTTAATGTAAGAATTAAACTAGTAAATATTTACTAGGGCTAGATGCTTGGTATACAATGGTGAGTAAAAGTTATCTCTGTCTACATGGAGCTTAACAACTATTAGGGGAAAGACCCAATAAGCAAGTAAAACAAAGAAAATATAATAAACTTCTTCAAACTGTGAGATATTCTAAGAAGAAACAAACAAGTTCTATGAGAAAGTATGCAAAGATTAACAAATGTTATATTTCTTACCTTAACACCTATTGCAACAATAAGGTGCTTGGGAAATTGAGAGCTGTCAAAACAATATAGACATTTTTCCATTTGTGCAGCAAGACTCTGATGCTCAGCAATAGCTTTTTTCCTCTGGTTCTCTTCTTCTTCACCAAGACATTTTCTCTCAGCTGCTTTGGAGACAAACATGTCATCCAGAGTATAATAGTCTCCATCTGCTTTTCCCATAAACTGAAAAACCAAAATAATATTAGTGGGGAGAAGGTAGTGGTTAAGATTTTATTGTACTGTAGTATCCTAAAATCACATCTGTAAGTTCTGGGATAAAATTCATACATTAAAAGAAAAGAAAAAGAAAAATATGATCCAAATTTAAGTGTGACCATTAAGTTTAAGTTTAAACTGGGAGAAAAACCTCAAATGAAATACAACCTATTTCAAGTTGACTGATGAGAAATCAAAAAAGAAAAGAAATATATCCTACTGTAGCAACTCTCAGCTGACATACTCTATTTCTAAAAGTTGTTTTTCTATTAAATCATGTACCCAGACTGTAATGCTAAAAAAGTCAGCATCTAAATAGATATGCTGAATGGATCAGAAATTTAGCTATTAACCAAGCCTGTTTAAAAAAAAAAAAAAAGGAAGAAGAAGAAGAAGAGCAAGACAAGATAAACCAATAGAATTGCATTGAATCATATTAAAGCCTTATGAGGTAACATGGCATCAGAATCAAATTCTTTTACTTCCAGATGATTTAAGCCCCTTAAGTTGATTTCTGACTTGTTATCCTTGTTCCTTACAAAATATTTGAGCATTAAAACTAACATATTAGAGACATAATAAGTTTTCATGGCACAAGAATGAGTCATTCTTTCATAAGTGATTATTTCTTCAAGGAAGAAAAAAAACCATCAGCATGGCCTAGGAAAAGAGAAGAAATCACTGATGTTGAATCACAGAATAAAGAAAACTTCATCTCAGACACTGAAAATGGAAGTGGTATTTCAGAACCCATAAATAGCATAAGAGATTTGACCTGTCAGCAACCAAAATCTAGGACAGTTTTTAATTTCATACTCTCTTACTATCTAAGAAGTAATATATAAAAATGAAATTTAATGTTACCTTTGACAAATAAGTGGCAATGTTTTTCATTAGAATATTTCCATGTCTAAAAGAACTGGTAACATTATAAGTAATTTCTCTGCCATTCTTGTCTTACAGTATACATAGTTTAACATCAAACTACTGAGATACATGAGTGCTTTCTTTTTCATTTTAATCTGTATGATATCTTTAAGAAGACTATTCAACAAAGATGTCTTTCTTATTTTTTTTTTTTTTTTGAGAAAGTCGGTATGGTGATTTTAAGTTTACTTTTCCAGTGTTTCTATCTTTAGTGTTATTGATAACACATATTATGTGAACATGCATAAAAATCCTGATTCCTCCCTGAAGTCCTTACCAGAAGAGAGAAAATGACAGGAATTAGAGGCAGGACTCAAGATTGTTCTACAATATCATGTTGGCTTATGTGTAATTCTATATATTCAATAATTAAAGTAAGGCATGAATTACGGACAAATGATTTTTTAAAGGTACTATAAAAACATTGCTAGTTTTATTCAGGCAACCTAATAATATACTTGTGCCATTTGTTAGGCATCTGAGCTTTCAATTACACACTAAAATATACTGAAAGAATATCACTACTTTTGAAATTTAAAAACATATATTCTATCCTCGATTCTGTGCATTACAAATTAAACACCCATTCCAGGAAACCTTCCCCATGACCCCACTATCCCGGTGACCACCATTCTATCTAATAAAACCTGAATATGACAATTTCTCTACAGCTCAGTCAGTGTTGTAATCACTTTGAAATTTTTAAAAATGTGGTCTCTACCAGAACAAGTGGAGAAGGTTGACAAAAAAGGACAAGAAAAATAAGAGATGAAAGATTGTGCTTCCCTCTACCCGAAGTTCAATGCATCATTTTATTCATCATTTTTGTGCTTGTTTTTAAAATACTGTTTCAAAATCAAAACTACAGACATCAATGAGAACAGAAAATATCTGAATTTTCTGAGCAATTTAGTGTAACAGTGCAAAAGGGGTTTTTGGAGTTCCATGCACTTGACTTCAAGTCTCAAATATGTGATCCCAGAAAACAAATATTTACTGAATGCTATTATGTGCTAAGGACTATACTAGACAGAATACAATGGTCAGCAAAAGCAGACATAATCCCAATGGTATAGAACTTATAGAATAGTGGGAAAGACATTAACTAAAGCAGCAGTCCCCAATCTTTTTGGCACCAGAGACTAGTTTCATGGAAGACAATTTTTCCATAGGGAATGGCAAGCGATCGATGGGGAGCAGCTGTAAATACAGATGAAGCTTCCCTCATATACCTGCTTTTTGGCCAGCCTACCTGCCACTTGTCTCCTGCTGTACAGCTGGGTTCCTAACAAGCCATGGACTGGTACCAGTCCAAAGCCTGGGGCTTGGGGACTGCAGAACTAAAGGATTACTCAAACAACTGTCAAGTTAGGGCTGTGGTGGCAATTTGAGATGTGAACAGAGGAAGTAACCCAGTCAGAGGTGAAGGCTTTCTTGAAAGAGCAATAATAAAGGTGGGATCTGTATTAATCTTCTATTTAATCAATTAGATAAAAGCAGGTAAAAGGTGGCAAAGAGTAACAGAAACACCTAGAGTCTGTGGCAGGTGAAAGTACAGCATACGTGAGAAACTGAACAAAAGTCAGCACGGCTGGAACAGAGGAAGCAAAGCGAAGGAGAGTGTGATTCCAGATAAGGCTAGAGATGTAATGACCAGATCATTCCAAGTCTTGTTAGGCAACATTAAAGAATGTGGTCTTTAACCTAAGAGCAATGAAATATCACTTGAAACATTTTAATCTAGGGGCTAGAGGATCAGATGTATATTTTGGGAAGAAAAATTACTCTGGCTTCAGTGAGACAGAGTTAAGAAAGAATTGGAAGAAGGTAAGGAATGCCAGCAAACGCATTAAGAGGCTATTTTGTAGGCGCAGGTAAGAAATGATGGTAGCATGGATAGGGTAGTGGCAATAGCAATGAAGAGGAGTACACTGACTGGGAAAAGGGAGGGGACAAGATCAGTGACAGATTTGATGTGAGAATGCAGGAGAGAGATCACTCTTCCTCATCTGATGACTTCTAGCTTTCTGACCTAGGCTAGACAGTAGGATTATAAATGACACAGGAAACACTAAAAACAAACCAGATTCGTTAACGGGATCCATGATCCTAGGCAAGCTGATTATCTCTGAACATCAATTTTTTTCATTAAATGGGATTAATAATACCAATCCTTACAGATAATTGTAAGTGTTAATGTATATAAAGTGGCTGACACGTAGAAATTCTTCAAAAAACTAATTATTATTATTTCTCCCAGATTCTCCCAGGACTGTGTTCTCAAATGAGGGCAATTTTGCCCTGCCTCCCATTTGGGACATTTGGTAATGTGTGGGAGACATTTTAGGTTATCATAACTTGGAGTGTGAGGGGTTGCTACTGGTAATTACTGGCTAAAGGTCAGTAATTTGCACTCATTTTACAGTGCACAGAAACCCACCCACAGCAAAGAAGCAGCCAGCCCAAGATGTTAATAGTGTCAAGGTTGTGGGGAAACCAGGTTCCAGAGGGATTCTGATACTGATTACTGCAACAAGGAAAGTTCTTTTGTATTCAATGATAACAACTTATCTGCATGAGTTAGGGAGTCAAATTGATTTAGTATTGATATTCTGTTTTATCAGTTTCCAAATTCAAGTAGGGTAATGAAAGAAGTTAGTAAATTAACTTAAATTTTAAGCATATAAAAATATTAATGTCTTCTAACCATGAGAACTAATTTGTGTTCTCATTTTGATGTTTGAATGAAAAACCTGAAATACTACAAATTAAACTAGTATCTTATAGTCAGTTACTCACATTCTTACATAAAAACCCTACAAAAACTGAAGCCTTTTTTTTAGAGCCATTATGTAGGGACATTGGTTTGCAACAAATCTAATTAGTATTGCATTATTACACATGGATTACCAATGAAGAACTGCAATCTAATTCTTACAAAAGTATTTCAAGCTTTATGTCAATGTTTTTAAATCAAAATTTTAACCAAAACTGTGAAACTATCCTTCAAACTCAAAGCCCTTGAATTCACTGGATATGACTTAGTTGATTAAGTTTCACATAATTTTGAACTCTATTTTTCTCTTAAAAAACGAATAAACTACTGAACCAATATACTCAACTGTCAACAATTTAAACATTGGCCAAAGTCTGAAAGAACTGGCAAAAAATCCTCATAAAATCTCACCATAATCAAGAACTAATCACAACTGATACCACTCTACACCCAATAGGATAGCTATTATCAAAAACAAAACAAAACAAAACAAAACAGAAAATAAGTACTGGCAAGAATGTGAAGATTCCAGAACCCTTGTGCATTGCTGGTGGGATCGGAAAATTGTGCAAACTATGGAAGAAACTTTGGTGGTTCCTCAAAAAGTAAAACATAGAATTAGCATTTGATCCAGAAATTCCACTTCTAGAAATATATCAAAAACACTTAAAAGCAGAGACTTGTACATCAATGTTCACAGCAGCAGTATTCACAATAGCCAAAAGATGGAAACAGCCCAAATGTGCATCAACATATGAATAGATTCAAAACACTGTGTTATATACATACGATGGAATTATTCAGCTTTAAAAAGCAATGAAATTGTGAAACATGCTAAGTGAAATAAGTTAGATACAAAAAGAGTAGGTACTGTACGATTCTACTTATTATGAATTACCTAGAATAGACAAATTCACAAAGACAGAAAGAGGTTACCAGGGGTAGGGGGAGAGGGAGGCAAGTAGGAAGGTGGGAAGGGGATTATTGTTTAATGAGTATAAAGCTTCTGTTTGAGATGATCAAAAAAGTTCTGGAAACAAACAGTAGTGACAGTTGCAAAATGTTGTCAATATACGTAGTGCCACTGAATTGTACACTTAAAAATGGTTAAAATGGTAACTTTTATGTATGTTATGTACATTGTACCACACACACACAAAAAAAATCAGGACCTGAACTAAAGAATGTTAAATAAATTTTTCTGCTGTCTCGTCTCCCTACCACTCCCCTCACGCTCAGAAAAACAAAAACTACTTTGTTAAGC